ATAGGAATGTCCTACTAATAAAAAGCCCAGTTAATCTCTTGCCATATGCTACAGATTGGATTACCTCTGGATTAATCACTCCAAAGCAGCAGTTTAATCACTTGGAAGAGTTGTTAGATCAGATTGTGGTCATCAGCCCTAGAATTGCAGATTCAGTAGTTTCCTGATTATGTAGTAAATTAAAATCTCTCATATCATTTGTAATACTTATTTTGCAGTTACTCAATAAAATTTTATTACAAATATTTTGATGCTCATATTTTTCATTTACTCTCAAGGAGTCTCTCTGACCTAGATTCTGTGTCCATTTATTATACACTCAACTTTTGCTTTCCGAGTTAAGATATTCCTGGTCAACCTTCGACATTCTCTGCTGCAGTCTGGAATTAGACATTTCCCCAAGGATCCACGGTCCTTTTAGTGGAAAACTGTTTATAAATTAATAGATGTGCTTAGTAGCTAGAACTAGAGAATATATGTGTGAACGTGTGGTATATATTATAAACATACACAAATTTATATACACTTGAATCTTTAATTTACATATATTTCTATATATATATATATATATATATATATATATGAATCTTATGAGCTTATGATGAATCCAATTCCAATCCAACACAATAGGCTTCTTTTTAAAAGGCAAAATATAAATTAATTAGTTCAAGTATTGTATATAGGAATTATCACATCACTTCCTTTTAAATACTTGACTTTGTTGTAGTAGTTGTAAGTTTTCCTCTTTTGGGTAAGTTCCTGACTACACTTACAAATTTATCTGACAGACATCTGCCATAAAGGGTATTGCTTCCTTCAGTAAATTCAAAACAAGATTTCATGCAGGAGCTCACATGGTTCCACAAGATGAACAATGGTATATAAGTGTTTTGCTCCCTTTTATTTGGGATCAAAGATAATAAACATTTTAAAGTAGCACAGGTTACATGAAGAATTTGATCTTAAAAATCTAATTTTTAACAGCAATCAGGGGGAAAAATTCTTTGTAAAACTTAAAAAACTACAGAACATAAAATTCAAAAATCATCAAGGTTAATTCACAGTGCTGAAAAACTGAAAAGGAGACTTAAATCTAAACACCAAAAGGGAATTTGCTAAACTCTATCAAATACCAATGGCATGGAATCCCCAGGATGAAGTGTGGTGGCTGAAGCTACAACAAAATGTTAAAAACACAATTTTATTTTTAATGATTATAAATCTGAGAACTTTAATGTACATTTCTTTCATCTATTATTCAATGATTAAAATTATATTAATTAAGCATGGAATTTCATACTTATGAAAATAACATGTGACAGCTAATTCAGAGAATCCTCTTGATAACAACTCTCACTGGCAGCCCTCTGGATCATCAATTTTTAGTGCTGGATGAATCTGAGAGATCCAATATTTTAATCCTCCTATTCTACAGGGATGATAGTAGTAACATCAGGGAGATAAAATGACTTTCCCAAACTAACAGTGGTGAAGAGTTCAATATTAAGTGACATTTCTCTTGTTCTCACAGTCCATGGGTTCTTTTCCATATTGTAATGCATTTTCTTTGATTAAAAACAAGCCATAACTGGGAGCTGTGGCACAAACCTATAATCCTGGAGGCTGAGGCAGAAGGATCGCAGAGTTCAAAGCCAAACTCAGAAACTTAGCTAGGGCCCAAACAATTCAGCGAGACCCAGTCTCTAAATAAAATATAAAAAAAGGCAGGGGATGTACGTGGCTCAGCGGCTAACCTGATAACCTCTGGCTATCACCGGTACCAAACAACAAAATACATGTTTTACTCTCCTACTGCTCTTTCATGGGTTAGTATCATACCTCACACATTGTAGGCAGTAATATATAGAAGTTAGACTAATATAACTACTTACTAAAAATGCATCTTCACCTTGAATAGAGTGCCAATGGCTCCCATGTGTATAAGGGTATGTATATTTCCAGTGACACAAATATTTAAGATGCTTCCAGGCAAAGAGTTTAAGACATTATTCCCATCCAACATATCAAAAAAAAAAAATTAAAAATGCCAACATTATTTTACTCTTTAAAACATATATAAAGTTATATTGTATATATATAGTTATTTAGCTTTTTCTCATTAAAATGTTTTTATCGATTAAGTTCTGGACTTTGGAAATTACAAAAGCAATTCATATCATAATGTACCAATCATTAATGAAATTTGGCTTCCTTAGATTCTTAGCTAAACGCAATCGTGACATTCGCGAATATTTCCCTTATGTATAACAGTAGGAATAAATGCCGAGTCATTGGGGAAAGCGAGACTTTTTTTTGGAAAGCCAAAGGAAAATGTCAAAGAAGGTCGGTAACCTGCACCCTGGTGTAACTCCATTCCATACAGAGGCAGCCAGAAATGAGTTTTTAAATTCAGGAGCAGCCCCTTGCTGTTTCTCCCTCACCCGGACAGCCCTTGAAGGTAAAGATGCATTCATTCGGTTCTACCTCTACGGCCCGGGGCAGCTTCTCACTATTTCCAAGTGGGCACCGGAACCTTCGGGAATTCTGCTGCCCCGGGGAGGACTGACACTGCCCTCCGGGGTCTTCCGTTCGCCACTGAGCCTAGGCTGGCCTCGCGGCGCCACCGCTGCCAGTTCACAGGTACAGGGCACCCGTGCCCAGAAGCAGGAACGCCTCTACTAGCCGCGCCAGAACCCTAGTGCCTGAGCCGAGTCCCACCGCCAAGGCCCACTCCACTCCCGGAGACTGGAGCAGCAGCTGCGACCATTGTTGCCTTTACCGGCTTGGAGGCGGCCATGTTGAGTGTTCTGTGCCACCGCCTCCGAGACACCAGGTATTGTGAAAAGGAAGTCCCCACCAAGTAAAGGAAAGCAATGAGCAATAGCACACGCTTGGAAGCCAGAACAGACGGCAGGAAAGGGGCAGGGTCGCCGGAAGCCCAGGGCATGCCGGGAAGACCTAGCCTTGGGTTTCCTCCGCTCTCAACGGTAGGGGAGATCACTTCCGGGTTGGAGGAAACGGTGTGCGGTGGGCGTTCCTAGACAAGCCCTTTCTCTTTCCTTTCGCCTCGCTGCTGTTTGGGAGTATCATTTCTGGGGCCTTGGGCCTTCCGTGGTAGCAGATATCCTCCAGTCCACCTTTAGGATGAAAGGACAGATGGTCCTCTTGCCTAGCGGGGCGAAGGAGGGCGCACAGCGCGCAAGGGTGGGCGGGCAATTAGATCACCGGGAACGCTCCGGGGGGGCACTCTGATTGGGCGGGACAGACGGAAAAAGTGTGGGAGTTATAGGCTGGCAGGGATGGTGGGCGGGGCGTAGGCCGAGCTGCTCAGCTGATTGGTAGGTTTTGGATCCCGTTTTCCCCTTTCCGCCCCTTGGCTTTTCTTGAACGTGGGCAGCCCTTTAACTCAGCTGCGCACATGTAGAGGAAACCGACTGATTGGAAGGACTTTAAAAGTGAGCGAGGGAAGAGGTGAAAATAGCTTAGTGTATCGCCCATCTTTTAATCTCTCCCATAGCCAGATTTTAGTTTAGACTAATTTGAGGTTATGGGGGCAAAAAAAACTAGGTTGAAACCGACAAAGGCAGGGTGATTCCAATCCAAAAGGGTTGATCGGGGTTCCTGCGACTCTTAGTCTGAAGCAGTTAGGAAAGCAATGATGTGTACACCGTTAAGAGGCTCTCGAAGTGACTACGTAGAAATGCGAGGCCCCAGGCTTCCCACCTGCTTCCAGTCTTCCTTGTGTAGTGGTATCTTGAGCTGGATCCCATCTGACAATCCAACCCACTCCAGGCTCCCTGAAGTCATGTGCCTGCCCCAGTGCTCTGATCTGCCCACCCTTGCTTGTTTTGCAACGTCTTCAGCTATCCCGTCATGCCCAAAATGTGATTTCAATTCATAGCTTTTGTATCTCCAAAAGCTTTGTCAAGTGTTTTTCCTTTGCTGTGTGCGTGACCACTTAAATATGAAACTGTTGCAAGGTATTTAGAGTTAACACTATTTTCAAGGAAAAAAAAAAAAAGACAAGTAGAACAGAGAATGAGAATGCGTAACTGGCTCCTCATTTCAGGTATAGTGGTTTGCCCACCCTTACATTGAAACTTTATAAATGATCATTTGACTTTTGAGTACAGGAGGATTTTCAACATCACAGAGGTGCTAAAGGAAAGAGAAAGAAAATTATTAAGTAGCACTCATATTAATTTAAAATCGAATGGCCTAAACTGAAAGAGTTTCAGGATCATTGCTTTTCTCTTGCTTCATGTAGATTCCTATCAGGACATTGCTTTTAAGCAATAGGTTTTCTTAGCCACAAAGTAAGAAAATAGGCTAAACATATGGGAGTGGAATCAATTTGATCAGATAGTGATTGTTAGAGGTGAACTGCTTTCTCCCCCCCTGATTCATCACCCAAAAGGTAGATCTCTTGTCTCTTGATGTGATCTTGACCTTGCCTTTTAAGAAAATATTCCTGAAATTTCAGTTTTTCTGTGGCATCTTGGAGCATTGTGTAATGCAAGCATTTATAAACTGTTGGTTGGAACTAAAACATTGAAATTCAAATATTTCAAAAAGGATTGCTTATTTATTGGAATAGTCAATAATATATTGTTATGCTTAGATCCAGAATTTATAAAGGTTTAGTGTTAAAAGTCTACCTGGGACTAAAGGGATATAGCCACATCAATGTTTATAGCAACATGATTCACAGTAGCTAAACTGTGGAACCAACCTAGATGCCCATCAGTTAATGAAGTGATAAAGAAAATGTGGTATATATACACAATGAAGTACTATTTATCATTAAAAAATAATAAAATCATGGCATTTGCAGGTAAGTGGATGGAGTTGGAGAATATAATGCTAAGTTTGCCAATCCTCAAAAACCAAATGCTGAATGTTTTCTCTGACATAAGAATGCTAATTCATAATGGGGTTGGGTGGGGAACATGGGTGAATTAGATGAACTCCAGATAGTAGGAGGGGAAGAGAGGGGTCATGGGGGTAGGAAAGACAAAATGGTGGAATGAGATGGACATCATTACCCTAACTATGTGTATGAAGACACTAATGGTATGACTCTACTTTGTGTAAAACCAGAGATGTGAAAAAGTGTGCTCTATATGTGTGATATGAATTGTAATACATTCTGCTATCCTATATAACAAATTAGAATAAAAAATGTCTCCCTTGGGGTTGGGGTTATGGAGTGGTAGAGCGCTTGCCTCTCATGTGAGGCACTGGGTTCAATTCTCAGCACCATATATAAATAAATGAAGAAAATAAAGATCCATCAACAACTAAGAAAGAGTATTAAAAGAAAAAAGTCTGCCTCATTCCCTTCCCCCAGCCACACAATTCCCCTCTTAAAAGGGAATGAATGTTAAGAGTTTCTTGAATCATTTTTTTATCAACTAATATCCCTCTAAAGGATTGATTCAATTTTTAGAATAGGCATTTTTGCAAATGAATTCATACTTGTTGCTTTTATACTTTTAGAAAAGATTTTAATTCCACTCCTTGCTTATTCCTCTCTTTTTTTTCCATTTCCTAATTTCATGTAGTGTAGAGCTGAATTCACAATTACAGGCTTTTTTACCTTACTGACTGAATGCATAATTTTCTAAGCTGCGAAATGGTGAAAACACACTCCTTTCAGCTTATGGTAAGGATTTAATTAGATAATATTTAGTCCTTTTGATTTGTTCCAAACCAGTATTCAATGCTTAGCTCTCTGTTTTTCTAAATATTAAAGAATAAAAGTCAAAAACAAACCCATGATTCTAAAAGAAATGGAAATTTTGTATATGTGAACATTTTCTTGATAGATGAACAGAACTCAAAAGAAACTGTTTTCTCTCTCTTTGATCTGTATCTTTGGAGGCAATTGAATGAGGTAGAAAACTATAATGGATTGGCATTTGGAAGCCTTGAGTTCTTATTTTAGATGTCAATATCACTGAACTGTGTCACTGTTAAGAAACTTTGCTTTCTTTGTAATGTGAATGGTGACTTAGATGATCAATTTATAAGTCTCCTTATTGTTTTTAAAATGTATGATTCTAGGTTGGTGCATTGGCACACATCTGTAATCCCAGTGGCTCCAGAGGCCGAGGCAGAAGGATTGTGAGTTCAAAGCCAGTCTCAGCAAAGACGAGGTGCTTAACAACTCAGTGAGATCCTGTCTCTCAGTAAAATACAAAATAGGTCTGGGCATGTGGCTCAGTGGTCAAGCGCCCCTGAGTTCAATCCCTGGTACTCCCCCAGACCACCACCAAAAAAAATGTATGATTCTTCCTGGTTGACTGAAGGTATTGTAGGGGACATATGAGGCAGGGCACCAAAAATAGCAGGAAACAGTTTTATTTGGTTGCAGCCAGGTTCAGAGGGAACAGATTTTGCTGTAATCAATTATTCCCCTGCACCCCAACACCCCAGGATCAGGTAGTTTCAGAACTTTATACCCAGCGTGTAAGGGGAGGGGCTCAGAAGTTCACAGTCTGCAGAAGTTCACCTAAAAGCAGCTTTTTCTTTCACTGTTTTGGACTAGTTAACCCTTCAAGGACAACACCTGAGAAGGGGAGAGCTTCTTCGCCCCTTTCTTTCCTCTCCCTGCAAGCTGTTACCATGGAGCCCATCTGGTAATTTATCTTAGAAATGCAGACATCTCTGTGAAGCTCCAGCTCAAAGCTAAGAGGCCTTGTTAAAAGATTTGTCTTTTAATTATCACATTTTGCATTTGCAAACACACTTTTACAAACTACTACATTGGATAAATGTCTGTGAAAAACTAGTAAAGGGGCGTTAAGCACCTAAAGTGCTGACTTTTCACAGGCCAATGGCCAAATAAAATAGATTAACAGGAAAATAGGAAGTTTACCTACATTTAACTCTTTTGTAGAGACTCTTATGCTGATAGACCTAAAATCAATTATGGTGAAGATTTCTGGAGAAGCTAAGTTACGATGTTCTGTGAAGAAGGGGGTGCCACTACAGTGTCCAGACCTTCTGGTGAGTTCATAAATGTGCTTATTTTAAGCACATACCTATACAGCTCTCTTCTCTTTCATTTCGGCCTTAGGTTTTCATTCTCTCCATTCCTCTTTACTTAAAAATTACCAGAAAGAATTATCGCTACCTGTTAGTTCTATTTATTTATCATCCATTTCCAATCTGTTGTAACCTAGTTTAACTTTATAATTTTTGTGAATCTGCTTTGGAAATTTAAAAAAATTATTTTTGTTTGGAACATCATGCAGTATTATGTGATACCATTGTCCTTAAAATGTTTTCTCTCTGTGTTTCAGAGAAGATATTCAGACTAGATTTTCCTGATTCTATTCTCTAACCATTCTCTAGAATTAATGTAAATAGTTCCATGTGACTAATGGCTACTGTACTGGACAAAACAGCTCTAGTGCTTCCTGAAATACAGGAATTCATAAGAACTTATCTTCTTTTGTTTTGTAATCTCTTCAGTGTGTAAGAAAAGCACATCTCATTGCTTCAGATGCCATTTCTATACAAATTATCTAAATGTTTCTTGCCCTGATTTCTGGCTTTATATTTTCTACTACTTACAGAGAAGCTTTGCTTGGATGCTTCATTTTGTCAACAACAAGAAGCATCAATAAATAAATCATTTGCCCTCCCCATTCTTTCATTTTGTGTAATCCTTTTGTTCTTATATTACCTTTATTACATTGCTAGTGACCCCACTTGAAGCCTTAAACCTTTTTAGGAATTTAATAACCCTACCCACCCAAACAAAAGTGATTATACACATATATTCACATGGAAACAGAAAATCAACTGTGAAGCCTTCAACAAGACCAACTTTATTGTAACATTTTTATGTTTTTCTGCTTTTCATTCCTGGTTGAAATATGAAATAATTGTCTGGGACATAACATATGCTTAGAAACATGACACATTTCTTATCGTCTTAATTCAGGCGGCTATAACAAAACAGATTTGTTGGGTTATAAGCAGTAGAAGTTTGGTTTTCACATTTCTGGAGTGTGGATTTACAATCAAAATGCCAGTATGATCACATTCTGGTGAGGGTCCTTTTCCAGGTACAGACTCTTGAGTTTTTATAGTACAGTCACATGGTAGATACAAGCAAGAGACCTATATGCAATATCTTTTAGAAGATCTAGCCACCTCCTAAGGTCCCTACATCTTAATACCATCACATTGGGATAATTATTTCAACATATTAATTGGGGTTATGGCACAAACATTTAATCAATAACACCTCCTTTTTTCTCTTTTATCTATTTCCCTTGTCTTTTCTGAACCCCATATTTGCTTCTCAGATGCCTTCCCTGTCCCTAGTATCTCTCTTCTATGTGCCACCCATGCATTTAGATACCAGATTACTTTTTGTACAGCATAATTACAATTTCATTCTGAAGCTCAAAGACTTTTATAACCTTTGCATTTCCACTATAATGTTAAATGTCTCTGTTCTCCTGTATCCCCTCACCCATGTCCTTTATCTTTTTGATCCATATTATTAATAGTAAGATGTGCTTGAAATTACTTATGGTACTCCTTATGTTAAAATATAAGCTCCATGAGGTCAGAAACTTTGTTCATCTTGTCCTCCCAGAGTCTAGCAAATATTTGGTATGATGGCTAGTTTTATGTGTCATTTTACTGGGTCATGGGGTGCCCAGATATTTGGTAAAACATAATTTTGGTTGTATTTGTCAGGGTATTTTGGATGAGATTAATATTTCAGTTGATGGTTTGAGTAAAGGAGATCACCATCCCAAATGCGGTTGGCTCTCATCCAATCAGTTGAAGACCTGAATAAGACAAAGCCTGACCTTTCCCTGAGTCTGGCTGTCTTGAGATAGAACATTGATCTTTTCTGCTTTGGACTTGAACTGAAACATTGGCTTTTCTTGGTTCTCAAGCCTGCTAGCTTTTAGGTTGGAACTACACTTTCAGACTATGACACCAGACATCAGCTTATATTTCTTCCTGACAACTAACACATTGCCATAATTACATTTTGTTTGTGTACTACCATGCTTAGTTCTGAGTCTTTGAAGGGTGGAGTCCATGTTCTAGTCATCTTTGTACTCCTGCATCTATTACAGGATTGGACATATAGTTGGTGCTTTTTAACTTGTTTTCCCACCCAACACAATACCCGAAATATGGTTGATGCAGCATGAAGAACTCATTGAATGAGTTCCTAACTGCTGCTGCATTTCCATTACTCTTGCCACCAATGTGACCAAAACCACTAGTGTCAGCTAGGAAACAAACTCATTTGTTACTCCTGCACCAGAAATAGTCTGCTTCCAATACACCCACCATCATAGCTACTAGTTCTAGTCGCTAGCATGCTGTGACACTGCTCCTATCTCCACCATTGCAGCTGCTTCCGAAGGGACCTGATTGGTTTGTACTTTGTACACTAATGCTATATAGAATCCTCTGTTATCCTGGGCGTTTTTTCCTCATACTGTTAGTTTTTTTCCCTGATTCTGATTATTTCTGCCTTATGACAGAAGTTGTTCTGTCATAGCATCAGCTGAGTGGGAGGTATTGCTTTTCTGCTCAGGGAAAATGTCATGTTATGTTTCAATCAAGTGGATGTTCTTTTTGCTGTCAGAATTTGTTGACATTTGTCTTTAGGGAATCTATGGTAACTCTAGTTTCCTCTTTTTCTCTGTGAGATTGATCAATCTATCATCTATCATACTCATATGCCATCTTTTTGCCCACTCACACAGATTTATAAAATCTTTCCATCCTTATCAGTTTAATTCATTGCCATCCACAAGAATTTGTGTCATTTCCAATGTAGAAATGTTTTCTTGCACTTTAATTTATAAAGATATTACATATTGTAAGAGTAAAAGAAATTGAAGTTAAAGTGTAAAAGACCGGGTAACGTAAAGTTTCTAAGCTGCAAAGCCTGAGTTAAAATGTAAAGGACCAGGTATTGTTAAGTTCCTATGCTACACCCAAAACCTGAAATTCCTGTAGCTGTTAGGACAATTCCCAGGACTTCCCAGTAAATATTCCCCCTGGCCATCTAGTTGTTTAATAACCTAGGACCCTGTGCAGCTTGGCACGTAGGCATCTCAGGGCCTAAACCAATCAGTTTGAATGTGTACCCCGCTTTAGAACTGACCTATAACCCCTGCCCGACCTGTTTCCGCCAATGAATGTGCTAATCAAGTTTGAGAGTTGTTGTTCGATTTTCCCCGCGCCTCATGATGATTTGTTCTGATGTATGCAAAGCCCCCGCCCTCCCCAAAAAGTGTACTTAAGCACTGCTTAACCTCTGCTCAGGGCTCCTGGCCGCTCTCCCTTCTTCAGTGAGCCTGGAGCCCCAGCGCGCTGGATTGGATCCTCAATAAATCCCCTTTTGCTGTTGCATGAGCCGGTCTCTTGGTGGTCTCTTCCTCTGACGTTTGCCGGACCCTTACAATATGGATTATGCCATTGTGCTCTGCATCATGATGCTGGGACATGAGGTCTGACCTAAACTTTGCTTACCCAAGTCTAACTGAGTCTTCCTGGAGAACGGTGCTCTGTTTTATGATTTGCATTGCTGAGAGCCATAGCCAAGTAGGAATGACGAATGGCAATTTCTTTGTCAGCCTACCCAATGTTGCTTAGAGGGAGGACTCTCCATTGTGGAAATGGGCTTGCCTTGGACCCAGGTCATTTGCAGTGACATTGCATGAATGTTTGAGAAAGGTGACCCTGCTCAAGGACCAGGGTGGATCCGGGTTTAGGGAGGATCCTGCTGGATTAGGGCTGTTCCAGGTTTAAGGTGGACCCTGCTGGGAATAGGGCATATCCTGCTGCCTCAGGCGCCCGCCCGCCCGCTCCTTGAGTTCCCATTGAGCTCTCACGGGATTCAGAGAGTATTTTGGGATGCAGAGCAGAGTGCTGGTGAATTTGCCCCAGAACTTGCGTGTAGAGTGCTGGTGACAGTTCGAGAATAAAGAGTTGCTGTTTGAATCTACAAGGCTGTGAGTGGCTCGTGATTTTGTGCCCAGCTAGACTGCGGCATTGCATGAAGACACTGGTCCATTGCTAAGTGAAAGGCCTAGAGTGATGCATCCATACAAAATGACACTTTTAAAATTCACTCCTGTTAGACTGTTACCCCTGATTATGTAGTCCTGACCTTTGCATTGGTCTAGGCTGGAACCTGAAAGCCTCTGGGCTATGCTTTCCTAGATTTACCTTTTGTTATTTTTTCATAGCCAGTAGAAAATAACCTCATCTCCAACAATGAGATACTCAATTTTATTAAATTATGAATATAAACTTAAAGCCACAAAAATAGTTTCTGTACATATGTTCCAGATATATATTGCTGCTTCATAAACTTCACCAAAACTTGATGGATTAAACAATTATTTTTTTAGCTTTCATTATTTTGTTGCTTTTGAATTTTGGCACAGCTTGATAGACTGCTGCTATCAACAGAGATTACTCAATGATATTCAGTTGGTGGGCAAGTTTGTGTGGAAGGTTCAAAATGGCTTAATCAAGGTTAATCAAAAAGGAGAACAACCCCAGTGTATCTGACCTATTCAAGTGAGCCCTTGAGGGAGGTTAAAGCTATTGGGAGTGAAAAAAGCACTCCCAATGAAAAACCAGCCTCTACCTCAGAGCAAAGCCTGTCCAAGGAAGGGACATGACCTTAGTCCTTGGAAAAACCCACAGAGCACTCCTAAGCACATTCCCACCCTGCTAAGTTGTTTATCTACAAATAACAGGAGAGATCTGCTGCGCCAGGTGTCCCTGACTCAGTCAGGCTAGGTGGGGATCCATAGCAGCCCCCTAGCAGCCACCAATCAGCATGAGACAGGGAAATACCTGGGATGCCAGATGACCCTCCCAATGGTTTATGGTGGTTAATAACAAGTTGGGAAACCATGTAGTTCAGCACGTACACCCCTCTTGGCTCAAACCAATCAGTTCAAACGAATACCCCTTTGTACTGACCAATCACCCCTACCCAA